TTGTTTGATCTTGTTTCCATAAATACAATTATAACTATCCCATACAGTTGAAGATTTTCAATGACAAATTTTGTCTATCAATTAACTGTTCAATTTCTTTTTATTTTTTATTAATACAATGCTCGTTTTTAACTAAGTGAAAACTTTTAATTTATTACGCATCGAGTAATGGAAAAGTGAACAACAACAAATAACTGTATAATCATTTTTTTTCTGAGAGTAGCCAATAAAAAAACTAAAACCTTGATTCTTCACTTGTTCATGTACACAGTCGATGCCAAATATTGGTGAAAAAAAGAAAACTCGAATCTGGGTCTGTCGGATTCGAGTTCACATTGTTATGAACCCGCAGCTCCAGACTATGGATAATCAACCGCAAAAACAAATGGGTCATGGGAAATTTTTTCTCTATCAGACTTTATAGAGATCTCTTTGTGGATTATTACAACATAAGGATCTTTTTAATTTGATGATGATGATGCTGTGGTCAAAACATTGGAAAAAATTATACGCCTATTAGACAGAGCTGTTTCAGATTTTCCAGTTTGTTGACTCTAGCATTCTCATTTATTTATCAAACTAAAAAATCTTTATATCAAGATAATCAACAGAGAGGGCTCTATAACATCTGATTGACAAAAAATTTCCCATGACCTATTTTTTTTTTCGTGTTTGACTATCTATAGTCTTTAATGAATATGTCTCAACTTTTGATAATTCTCTGATTCTTATAAATTGCTTGTTATACTGTTGAAATTCCATTTTTGGCGAGCTTTTATTTGGTATAAAATTTAATGTCGATCTTATTTGTATTTAGAGTCGTAACAGCCTGGAAGAAATATTATTTTCAATCTTGTAAAGAATATTTAGATCATAAAAAATTATTTTTTCTATAAGATTTTGTCATAATGCATCATTAATGATAAAATAGAATCAATTAATTTTAATAAAAAACAAACCTACTAACATGACAAACAATTAAGAAATCTTTCGACTAGTCATTAATCAATGTTAGGCTTATAATTACGAAATACAAAAAAAACCTTTAAAGTTCATCTAAAATATTATTAATTCAGCTGTTATATTATGACTAATATTGATCTTCTAAATATCAGTTATTTCGATGACATTTACAATTAATAGAAATCATACCAGGAAAATATTCCTCATTCAAACTAATTGCTCATTCATTAAGCAATGCTATTAAATTATTGTGTGAAAATCTTGACACAAAATATTTGCGCATTTTTCGAACATTAAAACATAATTGATTAATTAGAATCAGAATTTTTCTCTATTTCTGATTAGCGCAGTCCTTAATTAACGTTGTTTGTGTCTTCGAATAAATTCAACTCAAGATTATTGTAGAACATTGAATTCTAAATAAAATAAGATATTAGAATAAGCAAAATTTCATCTATGTGTTTCTACTAAAGAGTTAGTTTCCGATGAAAATTGCCCTTTCCACAACTGCTTTTTAAAAATACACAAGTTTTAATATCGATTATGTAAAATATAGAACAGAAAAATAAATAGTACACTTTGTATAGTAAACTTTTTTTCTACAAAATTGAGCCATTAAATGCTGTTTTACATTTTGAATTTAATAGTTTTCAATCGAAATATAAAATTGACAAAAATAATATTCTGTACAATCACTGTTTGAGGCTTTTTTAAATAATCTGATGATAATTATCCGATTTTGTTCCCAGAAGAAAATTCTAAAACACATATTTGCAAAGAGTTGAAGAATTCTGATTCCAACTAACTCTAATCAGTTATCTTTAATGGTACCGGATCCTCTTCTAGATCACTTCTGGCTCTTCACAAGAATATAATCAGTCGGTTTTTAATTTTTACTACAGCTGGATTATCGAAAATGACAAGTCTCGTGCCCGACGAAAAATTTTAAAAGTAGTTCATCAAGAGTTTTAGAAGATTGCTTTAAAAATTCCTGAAGATCTACACTTCTAAAGCTTTTTCTTCTAACATGGACTCACATCATTTTCGATAATCTAGTTATGGTAGAAATTTATGTCCGACAGGTTGCACTTTTTTGCGGAGAGTCAATGATAGTGTCAACGAGTTGATAACCCTTAGGTAATCGAAAAATAAATGAATGAATATTTTATGCAAAGACTTTTATGTCATAGGTTGTTTGTTTTAATGGACGAGTCTACTTCATTGTTTTCTATTTCTTTATAATCAATATTCAAAAATAACATGAAAACTCTCATTATAATATCTTGCTTATCATAATTATACCAAGCACTAACTTATTTTTTATAAATATCATATCTACTAAGCTTGATAAGGGGTTAGGACATTTATAATAAAGAAAGGCATTATTGATCTCTGATATATGAGGCGGAAAGATTTATAAATGTCATTGCAGCTTTATCTTATTTGTCTATTTAAAGACGAAAATAAAAATAACGATAATGAAGAAGAAAACTGACATACTATATATATTGTATACCGGATACACTCGGAAAATGTCATCTGGAAGAAAATAGTAGGATGATTCAAGCTAATTTTATTATCATTATAATAATAGATAAAATCAATGGATTTATTTTTTACCAAATAAAAAAAAATTTATTATTAATAGAGAAAAAAAAAAGAGCATCTTTTATTTTTTATTTTTCTTCTAATGATAAATACATAAGGGAAGAACCCCTCGACATTAATGTCGTATAATCACAATCACAATAATAACATCTATTGCTATTCGCGAGTTCTAGTAATACCAAGGCTTTCTTTTTTGCTTAGCGTTCTTTTCTATTCTTATTTTGCTATTTTGTACATGTAGTTTTGATATCGCTGTGCTTGCTTACATGCGCATGAAAGCAAAAGAATAAGAAGATATTTTTCTCGTTTTTCTTTATAGTCAATAAGAAAGAATTGCCGTTGCTTTTTGGGATCCGAATGCATCTTGTTTTTTTTTTGGCTCTTTTCCTAAGCAATGAGAAAACGAGATAGGATATTCTAAGTTAAGACACACACACAAATACGACAACAACTGATTGAATTCTCGTTGTTAGTTTAAAGTAAGACATGAGTCTAAAAGCAGGACTTGGCGATTTTAATAAAGATAAAGTTGCCAATAAATTTGGTGTACAATTAAAACCAAAAGATGCATCACGAACACCAACAAGTCCATTGCCGACGAGAAAACCAACAACATCAGAAACATCAAATGTCACAAAAAATAAAACAATTAGTGATTTTCGTACAGACAATAATCCAAATGGATTTTTATCTAAGACAAATCGTATTACTACATCAAATACAACAGAAACAATTAAAAAATCTAATGAACAAACTGTAACAAAAAAATCTACTACGGTACCTGTGAATACATCTGTAAAGAATGAACAAGTTCATTCTTCGACCGCAAATGTTAATCATTCCACAAAGAAATCAAAAGAATCTTTAGCAACAAAAGCTCCTGAAGTATCAAAAAAATCTACTGTATCACCAACTGATAAACCTGTTTCACCAGCATCATCTGTCAAACAATCCACTGTGCCCACAACGCACCCTAAAACTGAAGCTCAAGTTGAAAAGAAAAAAGATCAACCATTAACCAGACGACAATCATCAAAAACATTGGAGAATACATCCTCAACGGAAAATAAAAATACAACAACAGCAGCAGCAAATAAAAATACAACAACAACAACAACACCAAATGCATCGACAACTTCCTTAAAAAGGTAAAAAACAAAAACAAATTTTTTTTTTTTTTGCAACTCCCATAAATAGAAAATTCTTCTTAAAACTATGAAAGCAATTTATTGTTGGTTGGTTTTTTTTTCTTTCTCAAATATTTGATTGGAATTGAATGTATATGTAACTTTCAATTCTAAAATGCGTCAATTAATGTATACATACATTGAATATTAATAGAAAAGTTATATTCGTTATTTAAATAAGAGAGAACAAAAAAATTTATCGTATATTCATGATTACTAATCATCATCAAGCATACATTTCAATCATCTGATGTACTTTTATACATTCTTAGAAAATTTATCTATAAGATATGTCTCCTCGCTGTCGTCAACGTACATACAATACCCATATTCTCCTTCTGATTCTTTTTCTCTTCATACGTGTAATCTGATGCTTTCCAACATATTGTTTTTCTCTGATTTTTTTTTTCCTTCATCATAATCGACTTGAAAGAAAAAAAGAAAAAAAGACATTTATAACATGTCTCGACATAAAAAAGCAATGAGCTTTGTTCAATTGCTAGTCATAACTTAATACAAAAGCCTTGGCCTTGATATACAATTTTTATCTAATAATACGACCTTTATGGGCGGACACTTACTCTTACGCACTTGTATTTAATGATTCACATTAGAGAAAATCAATGTTTCATATACGCAAAAAAAAAATTTGCACCAAAAAGAGAAAAAACGAAGGACATAAATAGACATACTAAAAAAATTTTTACATTATATACAATGAAAATCAGCGGTTTTCATACAGAAATCATCTCTGATATTTTAAATAAGTAGTTTTTTTTTTTTAAAATATTATTAAATTAAAGAATTATTCTTTATCTACAATATTAAATTAATAAATAAATGTTCTATTTAATAATGCATCTTTTCATTTATTTATATTCTGTTTTCGTAGAGAATTATTATCATTATTATCATTACCGAATTTTCTTTTTTTTTTTCCTTTCTTTTCTTCGTCAATACCTACACATATGAATGATTTCTCCTTCATATAAAAACGGCGACTATACCTTTACATAGTGTATACGAGTGTCAGGTTGAAGTTGAAACACATATACATACACGCGCATTAAGTGACGTAGGTTTTTTTTTTTCATAATATTTTATTATTATTATTGTCGTTGTCATAGCTGATGCAATAGGACAACGTGGTGAGTTACTCGTTATAGTTATAAAAATTTTATTGTTCTGTATTGAGCATAAATAAAGTAAAAAGATAAAGAGAGAGAGAAAGCGAAAAAAAAAATGTCATCATCGACGTTCGCTCAACGATGGACATCCGTCAACGATTTGACAGCAAATAACAACAATAACAGACAGGTGATCTCATTTTTTCTCCAAGCATCATCATTAACGGATTCCAATACATTTACATCCCGACCTTCAAAATCATTACTCTCACTAGTCGAACCATTATCATCATCATTACTTCCTCCACCTCTTCCTCCTCTTCTTCGTCCTCGTCCTACTGGTTCATCTCAACAAACAAGACCAGTTTCATCTCGTGTTGCGGATATTATTAATCGATTCGAATCTCATAGTCAATCATCAATGAATAATAACTCAAATAAAGTATTTCCTCCAACTCGTAGTATTGTTACGCAACTATCTGAAGGAAATTCTCCACGAAATCCACCTGTTACTGTTCGTGAAACTTCTTCAATTTATATTCCATTAAATTCTAAACAGAATAATAAACCACAACCGATTATTGTCTATGAAAGAATAACTAATTCTGATAGATTATATAAATCTCCATCAACATCTCCATCCATTGCTTCACAAAGTCCTTTAGTAAAAACCTGTCTTGAAAATCAGATAATATCTCAACAAAATGTTGAAAGTGATACTGATTCTGCTATACATACAATGCCTGCTGCGATAGAAAGTAATACAAACTATTCAACTACAATATCACGTTCAAGTACAACAGATTCAAGTTGTTCATCTTTGTCTTCATCTGATTGTTCACAAGATCTACATTATTCTCTTCCTCCACTAGCTTCAACACAAAAACAACGTGATATTAATCTTAATTCAACATATTTTAAACAAATCGATTCTCTTTCTTCATCACATGTAACAATGCCTACTCGTATAACACCTTTAACAACTTCTCTAGTTAATGAAAATCTTGAATCATCACAATTACATTCACTTACTACTCGTTTTTGCTCATCTGAAGTTAACATACCTGATCGCTATCGTCAATTATCATCTTTCGATGCTATTCACTCAGATACAAATTTATCGCAAAATTCAACAAATAAAAGATTTATTGACACAAATCTACCATTAAGATACAAAAGAGATTCATTTATTCGACTTTATGGGTAACACATACATATATACTACTAATACTTTTGTTCTATTAAAAACAATAATTTTAACATTCCCTTTTCATAGTCAAATATTAAACTGTTCCGATTATTTAGAAAAAATTTATTTAATATAACTAATAACAAATGTATCTATTATTTAGACCTGATGCTCTATTCGAACATAGTCAGCGTAAATCTCCTGATGTCGTACTTGAAGATGGTATTTAACAATATTATCTTAAAAAATATGTTTATATTTATATATATGTATTTGTTTTTAGATATTGATGCACCATTTGCATCACGTAAAGTTGTAGTGCAAAAGGATAAACCTATATCAGATCAATATGAACTTCTAGAATTTCTTGGAAGGTAACTTAAGATGTTTGTTCTTTTTTTTTTTTTATTCTTAAAATTAATGATTAAAAAAAAAACTTTAGAGGAAAATTTGGTGAAGTAAAAAAATGTCGTGAACGAAACACAAAACAATTATTAGCTGCAAAATTTATAACAATAAATAAAGAACAAGATCGTACTGAAGCATTTAATGAAATTGAAATAATGAAAGCACTTCAACATCCGAGACTTTTACAACTTTATGATGCTTTTGAAACAAAATCAGATATTTGTCTTATTATGGAATTGTAAATATTTCATTTGTATTTTTTTTTAAATTGTTCTTTCTTTTATTTTCTCTATATTTAAGAATTACTGGTGGAGAACTATTTGAACGTGTGATTGATGATGATTTTATATTAACAGAACGTCTTTGTGAATTATATGCGATGCAAATATGTGAAGGAGTGAATTTTATGCATACATGTAATATTATTCATCTTGATATGAAGGTTTCAAAAATTTTTATTATCATTAAGAGATTTATTAATTTTTGCTTTGCTTTGCTTTTTTTTTTTATTTTAGCCTGAGAATATTTTATGTTTAAATCGAAATGGTCATCGAATAAAAATTATTGATTTTGGTCTTGCTCGAAAATATGATCCAGATAAACAACTTAAAGTATTATTTGGTACACCGGAATTTGTTGCACCTGAAGTTATTAATTTTGATCGAATTGGATATGGTACTGATATGTGGTAAGTTATAAAACTAAAATTTAATTTTTGAAATATTTATTTTATTTAGGTCTGTCGGAGTAATTTGTTATGTTTTGTAAGTAATTGAATGAAAAAGAAAAGTAATGTAAAAAAATATTTTGTTAAGATTATCCGGTTTGAGTCCATTTATGGGTGAAAATGATAATGATACATACGCAAATATAAATCGGGTTAATTATGATTTTGATGATGAAGCATTTACTGATATATCAGATGAAGCAAAAGATTTCATCGCAAAATTACTTCTCAAAAATAAAGAGTATTTATTTAATAAAAGAATATTTTTAATTATTTATTTTTTATTATTATTATTATATAGTAAACGTCTTCAAGCTAAAGAATGTCTTGCTCATCCATGGTTAACTCGTCGACCAAAATTAGCCACAACTCCTAATGATGAAGAAGGAGCTGAAAAGAAAATATCAACAAAAAAATTACGTAGATTTGTCATACGAAGACGTTGGCAGGTTAATAGTTTTTATTTTTGCAACTATAAATTTCAATTAAAATTCAATATGTTTTTGTTTTGTTTCTATTTTTAGAAAGCGGTCAATGCTTTATTAGCATTGAAACGTATGGGAATGACGTTGTGAAAAATACTACGACTCAACTTACATTTTTCTTTTCTATCCTCTTATTCGCACAATATTTTATATATGAGTCGCGTGTCTTTCACGAACAAACATTGCTTTTCCTGTTTGTTTTTTTTTTTATTTTTATTTTTATTATTTTATTTTTTTTTTCGCTGTTGTTACCTGTGGTTCAATTTAATTTGTTCGCCCAGAGAATAGTGTGTGTGTGCGTATGACAGAGTGAGGGTTCGATCTTGGAGTGTACATTATTACTATTACTATTATTATTATTATTATCATTATTATTATTCTTACTTCTGCTACAAGAAAAAAAAATTGAACGATATGAAAAGAAAAATAAAGATGAGACAATTTTTTAAAATAGTTCAAGATTTTTTATAAATTCAATTATTCGTAAGAGAAATTGACGAATAGATATAATTTGTTCAGCATATTTTGGTCGAATAGTATTTCGTATAGGTAATGCTTGTTCAAATCCATGTGCTATACGTAAAAGAATTGATTCTGACCATGCCGTTCCAGCAAACATTAAACCATAAGGTTCATTATTTGATTCGTTAAAACCTAATGGAACAACAATCAATGGATAACCAACAGATGAAGCCATATAGGTGATATAATGTTTAGTATCAGCTACAATTAGTGCATCTAATTTGTATTGAATTAATCTATAATTAGTAAAATTGATAAATACAACTTTTAATGTAAACTATGATAAATTTGTTTTAACATTCGACAAGAAAATTTTAGTAATGTTTACTAAGAATCATAGCATCTTTTTGTTAATTAATTAAAAGAGAGTAGAAATCTTTTTTTTTTTGTCTTTTAATTTCAATAAGATTTTATATTCTCAAAAAATAACTTACGTTGCATCAATTCCATATTGACCATCAAATTGACGAGTTTTATTATATAAATTTGCATAATCATTAGCTGTGAAGTTTCTTTGCGTATCACTCGAAATAAATATATTTTGATTTGGAGAATATACATCATGAAATTGTTGATCAGCATGTTCTATATTAAATTCAATTAGATCTCTTAATGATTTCATTCTTGTATTTTTAAGTTCAGATAAATAATTTGATATATCATGACGAAAATTATAACGAAAAAGTGATACTAAATCATTGAGTAGATTTTTATCACCAATACCACTTACATTAACTGGATCAATAACAATTGCACCATGAAATCGCATTAATTCAATAGCTTTTTGTATTTTATCTTCTCTTTCATTTGATATATGAATATCTATGAAATAGTATTAAATTTTGATTTAATGAAGAAAATTTACCTTGACGTATAACACCTAATCGAAGATGTTGAAGTCCTTCAATACCAAGTAAAAATTGTGTATAATTTTGATGACGAATAATTCCTATTTGTTGTGTTGCATAATCTCGACTATCAACACCTTGTATAATTTCTATAAAATAAAAACAAAATATTTTTTTCATTTATTCATCAAATTTATTTGTTTAATATACCGAGTAGAAGAGCAACATCTTCAACAGTTTTACCCATAGGTCCAACTGAATCATGATCATGTGAGATTGGAATAATACCTGAACGTGATGTTAAACCAACTGTTGGTTTAATACCAACAATATTTGCAAGACTTGAAGGCATAACAATACTACCAGCAGTTTCTGTTCCTATAGCAGCTGCACATAAACCAGCACTTGTAGCAATAGCCGAACCACTACTACTTCCTGATGGATCTCCATCAGCAACATAAGCTGAACTAAAAAATATCAAAAAAAAAATTGTTCAAAGAAAAAGAAAAAAGACACATTCATTTCAATTTACTTGCTTAAACCACCTCGTGCAGACCATCCATCTCTTGTGCTATTATCCGATTTAAAATTACTCCATTCTGACAATGATGTTTTACCTAAAATAATTGCACCTGCTTGTCTCAATCGTTGAACAATAAATGCATCACGAGGTACAAGAGAACCAACAAGTGCTAAACTACCAGCTGTTGTTTCCATTTTATCATTTGTTGCAATATTATCTTTAATTAAAATAGGAATTCCATGAAGCAATGATCTTGAACCATATATATGTCGTTCTTGATCAAGTGCATTGGCAATCGTTAGAGCATCAGGATTTGTTTCAATAACAGCATGAAGTGGATGAAAACCTTGTCGATTAACAGCATCAATACGAGTTAAATACCAACGGACAAGATCAAATGATGAATAACGACAAGCTGATAAATCTTCTGCTAAACTTTTAATAGTTGCTGTAATTGGATCTATCAAAGGAATATCAGTGTAAGTTGTACAAGAATGAAAAGATCGTGAAGAATTTAATGATATATGTATACTATCTAAATGATATGAAAAAGAAAATTTTTCTTTTTTTTTATCTGGAATATTTGTTTCTCTTCTCATTTTACTTTGTATGATCTCGCTCTTTGTAATTATCAATAACCATGAACTGATAATGTTTAGTATTAAAGTTAAATCAACTGACATTTTCACATAATACACATTTATTTTTGTTTGTTTATTTTTTCTTGTACTATACAGTGGCAATTCTTATTTATATCGATCATGTTACACGTGATCGATACATTTTTTATTTAATCATTCTCTTACTAATCCAATTGTATAAATATTCTTCGCTTGCCAGCATTATTATGTTTTCCTATGTACGAGCATTCAACATTAGCGACTCTCTTTTCTTCTGTTGATATAGATCAGAGATGTGCAAAGTAATACTTAATATTATTGTTCTTGTATTCATTTCTATTTAATAGTTTCAGCATAGATCATTATTAATCTATTCAAAATAATTCTGAAATAAAACATCTACGATATAAGTCAAATCAATAGTGCAATGAAAAATAAAATAATCTATTGTATCGCATTATTTAAAGATACCAGTAATCTTTTGATAAACCAATTATTAACAAAAAAAAAAGTCGCAATAGATTTTTCCATTTCGAAAATTTAATATATGGCTCTTTAATAAACTTTTATCTTGAAAAATAAAACTTGTCTTTTGATTGGTAGTACTTTTACTACGTGCATTAT